TTATTCTAAATGAGTGGAAGAGGATAAAAACAAGATGAACTTCTATTATAAAATTTTCTTTCTTACATCCATATGACAAGACTCAATGCCCTTTTATACTAGTACAAGGACATTTCTATAATAAATACTCAACAACCAACCACCAAAAGTTATTGCATTTCTAGATTTTTCTTCCATACAATTTATAAATACACAAAAAACTTAAACAATAATTTTGGTTTATATTTCCAACAATTTTGACCAGCGTTATCGCACCAATAACCATGCTCCAACCACCTCGGTATTTCCTCAAATAAAGTATGATCCTTGATGCCCAAATGCTTCCTCAACAAGGCCTTAAACTTGTCAAAATCATAGTAAGGAAGCTCAATGCGCCAATCCATTTTTCACCTCCTTATCAACTCTAAATCTAACTTCTCCACAAAACTGGCTGTGAAAACTACCAACCTCTATATGCAACATGCTGACAACAAGTTGATGAAATTGAGAAGCCTTGAGAACGCAATCTTACTCCATCTATTCTCCTGTCACCCTATATTCTTCTCCTCCTCTTGTAGTTTCTCACTCACAAGGAAGAAAATAGAAGATCTTAAGGAGAAGGCTGCGCACAGAAGACCACCATGCTCCAACAACCTCGATATTTCCTCAAAAAAGTATGATCCTTAATGTACAAATGCTTCCTAAGCAAGGCCTTAAACCCGTCAAAATCATAGTAAGGAAGCTCAATGCGCCAATCCATTTTTCACCTCCTTATCAACTCTAAATCTAACTTCTCCACAAAACTGGCTGTGAAAACTACCAACCTCTATATGCAACATGCTGACAACAAGTTGATGAAATTGAGAAGCCTTGAGAACGCAATCTTACTCCATCTATTCTCCTGTCACCCTATATTCTTCTCCTCCTCTTGTAGTTTCTCACTCACCTTGGTAATCCTAGCTCCTAGGTATGAACTGGTATGGGCAAGTCCTTTGGAGGACTACACCGGGCGAGTCTACATGCTATGATGTTCGCAGAGGGATTGGTTGTTTGCCTAAATATCAGTGCCGACGATTGCCTTGTGGGGCAATATTTCTCTTAGGCAATCATCCTATTCTTTGCCTTCTAAGCAAACTTTGGGGAGTTCAAAAAAATAAGAACTTCAAATCTCCAATAGTTGTTTTTTTTTTCCTTTTTCTTTTCATCATTTGCAAATCAAAATTCAAGAAAATATATTGGTATTATTCTTCAAAGAATAAGAAGCTTATGGTGATACTAAGACTTCATTTGGGACAACTTTCGACTGCTATTTATTTATTATTTTTAAGAATTTTTTTTACTAAAAAATTACTTTAAAAAATAGTAAAAGATTTTTCATTTGCATATCTTGAGAACAAGCAATAATCTCCGAGTTTATATAAGTCGTCCTTTCTTTATGTATTAATAGTTACATTTTTTTTTGTGTGTGTAAAATAGTCATGTGAATGATTGGAAGCTTTAGGGTTTGTTTGGGAAAGCTTTTTATACTGTTTTTAAAGTAGTTTTCTAGTACAAGAACTGTTTCGTTTGAGGTAACTTTCTTACTATTTTACTTTTCAGATCTTAATCATAATTTTTATTTGGTCACTAATTTTTACTACTTTTAATAAATATTTATTCTGTGAAACTATTTTTCATAACTTTAAGAAAAAATGCTTTTTCCATAGCATCTTTATAGCTATATTTATAAAAAAAATGCAGCTGTTCCAAATGAATCCTAAGATTTATTTGAGATAGCTTTCTTACGGCTTTGTGAAACTACCGTAGGAAAAATAATTCTTTTTAAAGTTATTGCTGAAAGCAGCTTCCAGCATAAAAATTATTTAGAAGCAAAAATTATAATAACAATCTAAAAAACAAAGCAAAAAAAAAAAAGTTCCAGATGAAACCTAAAATTTAGTGATCCATAAAAATGAAGGCTTCTTGTGGGGCACATTTTTTATTGTTTTTTTCACTTTTTCAAATAATTCCATAAAAATGAAGGCTTCCAGCACCGAATGTTTTTTCACATTTTTTCAACTCACACGAGAGCTCGGACATAAGTCCGATGGACAGACCATCGAATGGCTGTTACGCCAGGCTGAGCCATCCATAATCGAAGCCCTCTGTGGCTTCCAGATCGCGCCGTTGAACTCAAACATGGATCGGTGCTGCGAAGTGACCAGCCGGAGAACTCACACTTGGATCGCACCGTTGAATTATGTCGACATTCGGTGCTGCGAAACACATTTACAAATAGTCTGTAGAGAGTACACTAGAGCAGGATTGGTGCTGCGAAGCGATCGCTCCGTTGAACGCATAGAGGTAACGATTGTGAAAATCCCATGCTTAAATTCTACTGGAAATGTTTATCCCACGCCATGTTCGCAAACTGCTCGATATAATGTCAATGAAGGGTTCGATCCTAGATTGATACGGCATTGTATTGTTAATGACATGGGCGTTGGAGAAGATAAGTGGGAACAGTTCTTGGCTGTTGTCAAATCCGAATATGATGGGGAGTTGAATGGTAAACGATCTATGGAATATTCAGGGATTAATCCTGATAGCTACAGTTGCAATCAACTGCTTGAGGATCTTTGCAAGGCTAAACAGATTGAAAAAGTTTGTAAGTTGTTTGCTAATATGATGGAGAAAGAAGAGTTAGAGCCCAATGAAATCACATTTGTTTCAATTTTCCGTGGGTGTAGCATTGCAGGTGTGGCTGATAGAGGGCTTGAGTATTTTGATTTGATGAAGAGTAAATATGGAATTGAGCCTTGGCCTGAGCATTATGGCTGCATGGTGGACTTGTATGGCAGATTTGGGAGACTTGAAGAGGCCACTCTACAGGAGGAAAATATCGAGAACAAAGTTTTCGATCCAGGAATCTGTCTTCTGCAACAATCTCTTTTTCATTAACGAGCCTCGAACGGAGTCGAGCTCTTTTTACGCAAGGGGAGTATGATGTAGGAACATCTTTAGTAAAATTAATCCTTAGGAATAGTCTATCCTTTATGATTCTAGAGTCTTCTATTATGGCTATATATTCAAGTTATTGTAAGGAATGAGGCATTGAATGATATATACACCTTTTGAAGCTTGAAAAGCTTTCTTCTTTTCTTCCCTGGATTGGAATTTTCAAATCCTTCTTGCAGGTATCGACTTCCGCCGATCCACTACATCAGTTGTGTTTCCCGAATCTCTTTTCGTTGAAGTTCTCTTATGGTGGAAAAAGCCTGTCTGAACTTCCACCGGACACCGAGTCTATGAAATCTTGACGAACTGTCCGAGAAAGAAGAAAATGGAATTCAAGAATGGCCGCAAAAGCTAATTACGGGAATTTAAACCGAAACTGCTAAGAAGCACTCTTATACAAACTCAGCAATATATGTCGACATGAACCGCCTGTTATTTGCAATCGCCATCTATCGCGCTTTAGGGTTCGAATTGCCACTTCTCTCCGTCTCGGATTCGGGCGAGCGGTGACTTTGGTAACTAATGGATATATGCCTGGTCTGGAATTTCATCTTATTTTTCCTCCATTATCTAGTTATTTAGCTTCCTCAATTCAGGCGTAACCAGTCTTGATTCGCTGTTTCCGAGATGATTT